TTTCATGGTCGCAGCTACCATTGTACGGCCGTAGGCGCTATGTGAAATTTTACCGGGAGCACCGATAAATTTTTATATTTAATTTTTCTCGAAAGCAGAAGTGTCTTAGGGGCTAAATTTTCTAGTGCTTATAATACATCCACAGGGGTATCCATATATTTCCAAATTGTAAAGAATCACTATCCATCCAATTTTCAAAATTTCCCAAAACTTTGTATTACCTTTAAGTTTGCTTTTTGTTAAAGTGATCTTAGACCAAGGGTCGGGCTGAACTGAGACAGTAAAATATGTACAGTGGTCTTTTGTATGGTCTGTCAGAAAGCTCTTGAGACTCAAGTGGATCAGACTAGTTTGCATCCTATTCCTCAAACCTACTATTATAGACACCTGAAACTTATGGTAGATATTTATATATATATATATATATATATATATATATAACCTCATAAAAAGAGCTGAGAACTCAATGGAATTGAAAGTAATGCATTTACTAAGCAATTGACAATTCATGGGAAGCTATTTTCGTATCACCCGCTCTGTCAATTGTTGCATCTTAATTGATTTCTTCTTTCTTTAAAGTCATGAGAAAGTCATGTTTTGGGGGGATTTTCAGGAAAGAGATATATTCCAAAACTATTTTTATATAACATATAACATTAATGTTTGCAGTTAAAAACAAGCATCAGAAAATGATATTGGAATGATACACATGTTACATTCAGTATATTGATAAGACAAAACAACAACCATCCAATCAAACAGAAATTTCCTTTGAGCCTCCGGATTCTTTCCATCCCAAAACCTTAATATGAAATTTAATAAATCTAATTTATCTGTTGGCTTTGTTAATGTATCCTTTTGGCCTTGTTAATGTTTTACTTTCAAAAATATATCTTTTTTTGTACATGCAATTTTTAAATGTATGCACTTAGAGCTCTTACAACTTTGCCATAATAATACTACAGTGGCAGAAAGTTTTCATTCACATTTCATTAACTTCTTTTACAGTAACTTCCACATACTACTATACATGTACATGTACGATAGTCATTGTTGCTGCATTTTTTTGTACACTACTGGTATGCTGCAATGATGAAAAGCCTTACCGTACTCTAAATCTGCACCCCACCATGGGAGCCTCTGGAGTAGACTCGACCTATATTAGTTAGAGGCATCTTCAGCCGCCATGAGACTTGCACGGATGTTGGTCCCGCTCTGCCCTGCACTCTGGTGCGAAGTCAAGCCATTTTGTGGCAGGCACCCCGGTCATTACAACAAAGTTATATCGAAAGACCGCACAAAAGAAAAACAAAAAGTGGTCTCTATTGACAGGTGGTCTTTATATACTATATTTCATTCGGTAATAAGCATCATTCAAAGGGAACAAAAATTGAGGTTTTTATAGTCAGATGTTTTTTCTACACAGGTGGTGGCTAATATACGTTTAACTGTAATACTATTTAAACTACCAAATAGCTGAACATTTAGTTTTTGCAGAAAAAGAAAAAAAAAATTATTTACACATTTTGATTGTCAAGAGTGTGAAAATAAACACTTCACTGTTAGATTATAATACAGTGGTTGATAACTCAAATCCTTTATTTTACATCAATTGTTCAGGACAGATCTTAAACTTATTCAAATACAAGTGGTCCTGATATTCTTTGACATAAACGTTATTCTTTTTACTAAAGAGGTTAATACATGTAATAATAATTTAAGTAAATGATATGTACTAAGTGTGTGATAAAAAATTGTTAAATTCATATCTATTTTGTATTTATTATCTCCTCAGACATAATACATGTTTTTTTGTGGTGACATTTTTGTTTCACAATTTGATGCAAAGTTTGCTATTTTTTCCCCTTAATTCCCAGTGAAACATAATAGCTATTAGATAATGCCATTTTATTTTTGAAATCTTTATAGTATGGCATTTACCCAAAATACAAGAAAAAGATAAGTATAAATGCCTGTATATAAACTTCGATAAATAATATGAATTTTCTCCCATTTTGGCAAAAGCTTAAATATTGATTTTTAGCTAAAGCTGAAAAAACAATGTTGACTTCAAAGTAGCTGCATCCATTAATATGACATTTTGTTTTGATTTTTTTTATTAGTTCTATTTTAAAGCTTGCCAACAGACCAGTTTACTAACATATACAAATGTATTGATATTTCTTTACAGGGGACCGTCCTAGTGACAAAATATTCCATTATCCTTTATTAACGAATGAATTACAATACTCAGACTCCAGTCTCCATTACTTGTTGCTTTGTCATAAAAAAAAACCTTGGGGAAAACCTTGTGCTAGCTTTTAAGTTATCAAGAACAACCTTTGTTTAAAAACATTTATGTAATTTTAATATGTTAGTAAGCCGGTCTATTCTTTAAAGATTTGCAAGTCAAGGACTAAATTGTGTGCAAGTTTTGTATCTAGTGTCTGTCAGCAAGACACAAGTGATGAGAGCAACTTGAAGTTTCAATACTTGAGCTGATGTTGGTTCATTTAGGTAACATTGGTTGGCCTGTGTTAGGTTATAATTTGGCATAGGAAGCACTCCAGAACTTAAAGAGAGACGTTTGTTAGATTTTAATGTTATTGATGATTTTTATTTTTGTTTCACTACACGTCGCTTGTTACTTATTGCAGTTCCACCTCGAAGGTTCATATCCCTACCTGTATACCATATAAACTCAAACTCAAACTCAAACTCAAAATATACATTAAATCCCAAACTCAAACTCAAACTCAAACTCAAAATATACATTAAATCCCCTCTTTATGTGAAATGTGAAACCCTCGTCTCCAATATGCCCCACGCTGCGCTCCTCTAACATGCCATATGAGAGGTAAAAGCCAGAATGGCGACCCATACCCTTTCATGTCAAGTTACTGCCCTTGTGGCTGTTAGCAGATGAAATATAATAATAATAATAATAATAATAATAGCCTAATAGTCCACTCCAAATTTTATTAAACCGAAACGGAAATTCTTTTTGCCCAATTGATCGTGAGCCCGGCAGCCACTGGGCAGCGCCAGATCGACGTTGCTCTATCTCTTATCTCTTATCATCCCCAATACCACATATCTTTCCCTTTTCCGTGCCACACCCCTTTTCTTCTCCAATTTTTCCTTCCTTGTGCCAAACCCCTATACTCCTCCTTGTCCCCTTGCATATACAACTTCTTATCTGCTGATGTATACCACACTTGCCCATTCCTCCTGCCACACCCCAATTCCCTCCCCGTTACCTCCCCTATACCATAACTCACACCTTCTCTTATTGACCACGCCCTTTTTCACCCTCTCATTCATCATCTTTGTTCTAGGCGGAGTACTATATATTTAAGCAATGTCTTCCAAGAAGGGAAAAAAAAGAGGGGTAAAGATAATTGACCTATTGATTTTGTTTTATAATGCATGTTTGTACAGTATATCAATATTTATATGATTATTTTGATCTGTCACGGACTTCACTTTTTTTTGGTCTTGGATTAAAGAGATGTCGAACAAGTGAGATAAAAAAAGAAGTTATCTCGTAGCGTTCATTTTTTTCTTACCAGGAGGAAGTGATGTGGTTTGTGGTTGAATTCTACTTCGCTTGAAAGGATGATAATCATGTGGTTGGAGGTTGGGGAAAAAGAGAGAGAAAGAGAGAGAGAGGGAGGAGGAATAGAGGGAAATAAGTAGGAGGGAGAGAGAAAGAGAGAGAGAAAGGGGGAGGGGAAGAAGGAATAGAGAAAGGGAGGGAGGGAGGGAGAAAGAGAGGGTGGATAGGAAGGGACGGGAAGGAAGAAGAGAGGGAAAGAGGTAGGAAGGAGAGAGGGGCGAAGGTAGAGAGAGGGGGATAGTGAGGGAGAAAGAGAGGGTGGATTGGGAGGGAGGGAGGATGATAGAGGGAGAGAATGGGGAGAGAGGACGAGATTGTTCATGATGTACCTTATATAATAATTTTGAAGCCAATCTTGTCATATTCCGCGGTCAATTCAGTGGTTCCTCGACCCTGCAACTTAACATAGCGTATTCACATTATAAGCAATCGTCAGTCATAATTGTGCCTCATTTTTTGAGAAAAAATGGAGAGAAGATGAGAATTATAGAGTAAGCTTGATTCTTGAATGCTTGAAAGCTTCATTCTTTTGTATCTACGGTTGTTATCCCGAGACTACGTTTGGCTCCACCACTCGACACAGTTGGTGAACAATAATTGTCAGTTTTATGAAAGAATTCCTCATATCTGAAACGTCTAGTGGGAGGGGGGGGGGGGGGGGGGGGCTTCCCATGTCTTACAAGATAAATGAAATGCGAATTACAAAGGATAGCATTTATGGGGACGCTGTTGGATATATATCATCTTTTCTATTTCACCTAATCCGTGTCCTCTGAAGTTCTCTCCCGTCAATTTTCATTTTCATTTTTTTTCTTTTGCCATTGGGGAAGGGAAGGAGCTACGCATAGGAAACGACCTTAACGATACAAAATAATAATATGTTATGAGTGTGTTTAAAGATAAACTCCAGTTTTGGTAAAAAAAAAAAAAAAAAATTAATTCTCACAGAATCAAACAAAACTTACACTGAAAGTTCAAGATTACAAATAAATGACATGTGCCAAACAATTTTTGAAGAAAATGTATACTGGCTGAGTAATGAGCAACGAAAGACAAGGAAATCAAGGTAGTACCAGCCCCCGACACCATGTGTGTTGTCCCATATATAGCTTTCTGTGTACAGTGCTTGTTACTTTACCAAGACTCGGCCAAATTTGTTATGATTTTGATGACTCCAGAACCTTGCAGTGCACACCAATACTTACATGCTACATGATCAACTGTTTCTGATCCATTCCACACCTTTTCTTTCACAATGCAATCGCATTACCAGAACTGGAGTTTATCTTTAATGAGAGTGCATGTAGTATGATAACGATGGACAATTCATTTTTTAAGTACCGCTAAAGTATCGAATACAAAGATATGAGTGTGTGGCATGTGACTTTCGAATCACAAAATTTATTTTCGATAGAATAATTAAATGCTAATCTTGAAACTTCTTGAAAGTAAGACGAGGAAATGGATAAATCAAACGACTATCGCTCTCAATGAGCTATTTATTTTAATTGTAGACTTTATATTGCTCTCACGAGTTCCATTTCGCGACGGTTTTAAATTAATGATATCGGTCATGTGCCTATTCTCCTCCTTAAAATAAGCCTAATTAATAATAGGTCCGAGACAATCTCTTGCGACATGCATAAAGTTGCAATAGCGGCTGAGGGAAAGTTGAGGGAAGGACTGCGTCTCGAAGAGTATTGAATTAAACCCACGTCTACCAAAGTAGGAAGTAGGTCCATCCAAAGGCAAACAGTTGGCAACTTCTTGACATATTCTATTTATATCGTCTCTGGTGGAGAAGACCATGGACTCTGAGGTAATATTATTTCATACTTTTATTCTTGCATTTACTTTACTTCATTTCTGCTTCCGGTACATTTATTGTTTGCCTTGACTTTAGAAAAGATCATAGTTCTTTTGAAGGATAATACCGTGTACGATAAAGTGCAGAAGAAGAAGAAGAAGAAGAAGAAGAAGAAGAAGGAGGAGAAGGAGGAGGAGGAGGAGGAGGAGGAGCTAGGAGAAGAAGAAGAAGAAGAAGAAGAAGAAGAAGAAGAAGAAGAAGAAGAAGAAGAAGAAGAAGAAGAAGGAGTAGGAGAAGGAGGAGGAGGAGGAGGAGGAGCTAGGAGAAGAAGAAGAAGAAGAAGAAGAAGAAGAAGAAGAAGAAGAAGAAGAAGAAGGAGGAGGAGGAGAAGGAGGAGGAGGAGGAGGAGAAGAAGAAGAAGAAGAAGAAGAAGAAGAAGGAGAAGAAGAAGAAGAAGAAGAAGAAACAAGAAAAAGAAGAAAGCTTCGCCTCATTATAACCACGGCGAAAGAACATAATTTATTTTCTTCGCGTAAATAGACGAGGCAAGCATGATATTAAAGGGGAATAACTACTTTGTTGAGGAATCGTTGTCAAGTAGTTTAGTCACTTGAATGGATATGCGAAGGTTGGGGTACGTTCGGTCCTTCATAAACCATTTCCAAAATTCAGTTCTTCTCCCCATTCACAGGCCTACATTGTGAGCTGACAAGCTTGAATCGGATGACCGAGGTTATAATATACATGTGTGATGTATCCGAAAAGTGTTTCGAGAAATCGCATATGTATATTAAACGCTATACAAATCAGGAAATTTAGTAAAATCCTTTGTCACCATTTTTTTTCCACCTCTCTTTTTATCACAATAATTGATGTCGTATTTCGATCAGCATGCCAAAATTCACGCCTTCTCCTCGGTCATCGTCGCCATCATCGTCGCCGTTGGGGTAATCATCGCCGCCGTCATCGTAGCTGATGGAGAATACGGGAGAGGCCCGATCCCGTGCATGACCACCAACGGAGGGGGAGCCTTAAAGGCTATGCCAAGTAGTGTGGTGAGCAAAGTTTGATACTAATCGAAATATTTGGTGCCCTCTCGGCAACTAATCGCTGGATTTTGAAATACCTGTTGCCCATTTTTTGTTACTAGAAACTGAACATCACAAACACAACGCATGACATATATGCATTCCACCACATTCACCCTTTTGTACAGCAGGGGCGAATCAAGGATTAAGGGTGAATTAAGGGTAATTAAGGGGGGGGGGGTGGGTACAATGTTAACAAACCTCAGACAAGCAAGCAGAACTTTTTCTGTACGTAAGTGTTTCAATTACAGCCGGGTAACTACACCTAGGAAATACATTACCTCTTAAACTATAGTCATTATAACCTACCCAAACGGGAGAAAATACCTAGGGACCGATTTGATCCATTTTTGGTGGGGTCATTTTCCTTGCGGTAGTTGACCTGGTGTAATTGTAAAGGGGTAAATTGCGAGGGGAATTCGTCCTGCGTTATCCTTATAATTTTGTGAGGGTGGTTGTCTAGGGATAGTTATCATAACTTGTGCTTAGTTGTCATATGGGTATATTGTTCTGGACATAATAATTATCATAGGGTATGTTGTTGTTGTTGTGGGGGTGGGGGGGGGGGGGGGGGGTCTTACCGGAGAGGTGGGAGGGTGATGTCCAGTGGCGATAGTTCAAAGGATTGTTACCCTGAAACACTTTCGATTGATTGCAGACCATGGATATCATGATCATACACGATGAGACGGAGATTGGCATGCAGAGGGCACGATACGACTACGACAAGAACACGATCTTGGTCGAAACTCCGGCGATCACGGATGGATTCAGCAATGCTACCATTGCCATGGACTACGACAGGGTAAGGTTTAACGAGAAATAGAGATATATTCTATGATGGAGACGGTGAAATGGAGAGGAGGTTAATAGAGAGAGAGAGAGAGTGAATGCGAGAAATAGGATCAGTTAGTGTTTGTGCGAGAAACAGACATTCACTTCCTCTTTACACACGCACCCTCACGCACACAAACATCCACAGAGAGAGAGAGAGAGAGAGGGTGTAAAAGAGAAAGAAAGAATGAAAGAGAGAGTGAGAGAGAGATGGAAGGAGAGATGGAAGGAGAGCGAGAAAGAGAGAGAGAGAGAGAGAGAAAAAGAGGGGAGGCGTGTGTCGGGGAGAGGGTGAGGAGGGGGGGGGGGAGGGGTTGGAGGTGATTGATTAATCTTTATCGTTATCAACATTTGTCCTCCACCTCAACAGCATGCATTTAATTAATTGCAATCATTCCGAAGATCGATGATGGCGTCTTGCCTTTTCGTTTTTAAGGTGGATGTGTTGAATTTATCGTTGGATTGGATTATTGTAATGGTGCAAAAAATGTGCATTTAAACATTTATGTATCTGAGTGCGTGTGAGGGCGAGTTGCGCGCGTGCGTGTTATTTGAGTTTTACAGACGTAATAACTATAATCAATCTCATATCATTATGTTCGTCTGGGGGCGTCATACTCTTATGTAGATTATCAGTTTGAAGGCGAAGACAGAGAATTTATTTATTTATCTATTTATTATTATTTATTTATTATTTATTCAAGTTTTATTTAAAATAGAGGGTAGGTACATTGAGTGAAGAAAAAAAAAACTGCTTTCCAAATACGCCCTATAGGACGACATAACAAACATGTGATATGCAAAAATACAAGGAATACATGCAAATATAACATTCATAAAAACCAGGGAGATGTCAGTTAAATCTTTTTAACATATTTTACATAATATATTGTACCAGAACTGATCGTACCACAGATATTACGACCAACTCGCACCTCTTTCGACTACCTGAATATATACCATCACTTTTTTTCTTTTTGTTTTGTTTCGTTATTATATACCAGTCGGTTGTGGTTATCAAGCTACTTGATGAAGATGACTTTTGCTATGTATCTGCCTTGAGTGGAGACATGATGGACATGGCAGATAGATCCACGAAGTTTATGGAAATGGGACATACGGGACATGAACAGGTAAAAATACGACCTTGCAATTGTATTCGATGTTAAAATAATTTTGTAACGATTAATTTAATTCCCGAAGTATTAGAGGAAAAAAACAACAACAAGCCCTTATTTCACTGTATATCATTTTGATACATGCTGTAAAGACTGTCAAAATTAGGCCGATCCAGACAAAAATGAAAAAAAAAAAGAAAGGGAGAGAAAAAAAGATTGAGAGTAAAAAGGGAACGCAATTAGAAAATAATTATCGATTTCCTTACCGTATCAGGAGGGCGAAACCAAGTCACTTTCCAGCGCCCGGTCGCTCTGCTCCCTCGCATCTTGCCCCCAATAAAAATGTACCAGTACTCACCCTTACGGTACTAAAATGGTATTTCTATCATATATTTGTCCATCATCTTTTTCCAACCCTTTCAGGCGATCGACGTGAATACCGCTGACGATGTAGAAATGAGCTATCAGACCGCTGGGCTAATTCCCGCTGGTTACGTCACCAACGCCAACGGACCAATCATACGCGCTCTCTGCGCCGGAGACGAATCCTATTGGTCGAAACCGAGAATGTCGTCAAGCAGAACGAGACGTCGTTCTGGCAGGGCTTCCGCTCGTTTTTGTATTTTCGGATTCTGCTTCAATATTAATTTCTAATCACTTTATCTTGATTTGCATTCTGACTATACTTAGTGCCAGATCCATGAGTTGGAGTGGGTTGGGGAGGGGGGGGGGCGGACCATTTTAACGCAAGGTAATTCTGTGAACATATCTTTTTATTAACATTATCTACCTGTGGTTTTCATCTAATTGAATTGTCGAGAAGAAAAATATTAGGAATGATAGGAAATTGAATATAGGTCTGAGGCTTTGATTTATTTATGTCTCACTTTCAGCTATTGCTTTCGATCTCTTTGTTGCAACTTCATCAAGAAGTCCACTCTTTATCTCATTTATTTTGTTCATTTATCTCCTTCTTAAATCAACACATAATACGAACAATACAATGTGAATAAACACACCCTTGGTTTGTTCACGCTGAATATGATTTAGAAAATGATTTAAGAATATTATGCATTCAAACATTTAAGAAAAAAATACACGATTGTAAAGTGTCAAAAGTCAAGGCTTGGAAAACATATTCCTTTACATTTATTATTACATGGAACGTAAAATGAAAGAAAAAATGCAGTGATGATAAGATAGTGACTCGGGCTTTATCATATATAACATTTAGATGTGCCAAAGGCTAATTCAACGCAAGCCAAGTCAATGAACATTTCCTTTCATTCAAATAAATTAGCTGTAGTTGTCATTTAATTGATTTTTTCGAAAAGAAAATATTAAGAATGATTGGAAATTAAATATGGGTATGATGCATGGAATGCAAGATTTGCTTATGACCACCCCTTTTTTATATATATTTTTTTATATCTACGTATGATTTTATGTGACCTCTTTAAAATGCATATACTTGCAATTATGAATATGGAAAATAAATGAACATCAATAAATATCAATTAACTGCTTTCGATCTCTTTGTTTGAACATCAACAAGGAGTCCGATTCTCGTGTCATTTATTTTCATTTATTACCTTCTCAAATCAGCACATAATACGATTAATGAAATGTGAAAAGCACATCCTGGTTTTGTGCGCGCGGAATATGATTTAAAATGAAGTAAGAAATATTATGAATCACTTAAACAATAAATTATGTTTGTGTGTAAAGTCTTAGAATCCTAGGCTTGTAAAACACATGTCTTTTAAATGTATTATTATTACATGCACCGTATAATGAAAATTGAATGTAGGAAATAACAGATTATGGATCGAGATTAACCACATATATAATGTAGCTATGCCAACAATGTGTCAGAATAGAGACAGAATTGTTTTGGGGTGTATTTCAGAAACCAAAAGGAAGAAGAATTAAATATCATGCTTTATAATATAATGTAAACCAATATAGTTATACACAATCACTTTGCACATAAACATTGTTTCTCTATTGTACATAAAGATCCTTACAAACTACTGCAAATTATATATCAAACAAATGTGTAAAAATCTTTTTTTTCTAAAAATTACTGAAACCAAGTTTAGGTGGGCCTATTTACATTCGTTTTCCAAAACTGAGGTTAAGTGGCAGATGCAGATAGATGCAAACACTCGCGCACACACACACCCACAGGCTCATCGAAAGTGCTTTGATGTACGATGAATAGACAAAAAGAAAAGAACTTGATTCTTGAATTAAATCGACCATAAAAATCATATTGAAGCAGTGGAAAGTCTTCAGATAAATTCAAATATGACTGGCGAACTCTGCGATTGTTATTAAAAAGAAAAATAGTATTTTGCTGAAGAAAACACAATGCATCAGTATAACAGAATATACTAATTATCAGCATCAACGTTGCTATGATAACGAGCCATAGTTTCATAGCTTGATCAACAAACAATACTCTGTAGTTGTGAAAATAATGGATTGAAGTGAATTGAGGACTGCGCCTTCACGCGCGCACACACAATACACTTTTAATTTTTTTTTAAAAACAATTTTGTTTTATTTCTCCAAATGTGCAATACAAACCATAACATTCAATTGAATAAAATAAACGTGTTCAATATTGATGCTTTTACATAAACATAATTAACACAAACTTATTTGCAGTATATATAACTTAGCAACAAAGTAAACGTATAAGTACCTACACATAATATGTCAATTGTAAATGTTATACACTTATATACAAACAAAAAAAACTTAAACAAATCTGGAGGTAATTTTACTGGAACAATCCTGCCCCCTCCCTGCCCCCCTCCATCACACAAACATACTCACCCACCCACACACATACTCACCCACCCACCCCCCACACACACTACTCACTCAGTGGATGTCTGCTTACATTCTCAACTCAAGAAAAATATACTAAATACTCAAGAAAAATATACTAAATATACACACATACGCACACGCGCGCGCGCACACACACACACACGTACATGTACGTACGCACGAATCGCCTCGCCCACGTTTCAGATCAATCGGTTGGATCTCTGTAAAATCGGATAGATATTTTCCAGACCCATTAACTGACAGCTCCTACCAGGAATCTTGACGTGTTCAAAGTGTTTCAAGTCAGATTTCAGCGGCGTATTTTCTTTGAAAAGAGGAGTTTTCCTGAAACTTCAACTGTGGTTCAACATCTATCGCTGATTGTTGAAATCCAAGGGTCTACACTCTTGATGCGATAGAAGGAAATTTGTCCGTGAATATATAACTTTAAGATGTGTCCACTTTGAACTTCAAAATAAGACAGGTATGTACGATTATTCACATGTTGGAAACTTTATAACAGAAAAGTGATTTATAGCCTCATGTTTTACAAGGTTTTCTTCACGTCGAAGTTTTGTTCATATCCATTTTAACCCTCGTTGTGAATTTCACAATAGCTTAGATATACAAGACACTCCACTTTTACTTAATTTGTCAAAGCACCTTAATTTCAAAATCATTTTTGGGAGGGAATTTGTTTAATTAAAAGAATTAATTCGCGATAAGAAGATTTTTCATCAAGTGTCTATTATGGAGGTAAATTCAACTCGTTTTAATCTAAATTTATTTTTTTCCATTACTTTTTCATGTTAACAAAAGTAATACAAAGATACATAAAGGATGACATAAATAATTAAAAATAATAACCGTTGTAATACGAGGAAGACGGCGTACATGTACTTTCTAAAAGCATAAATGTTCAGGGAAGCGAGTTTTCTAATCAGGTAAAGTGTTAAAGGGAAATCCAACCTTGATAACAAATTAGTCAGAAAGTCGTAATCAATTTAAGTATAGGCTCTTCATATTGGTGGAATTGGTAATGTCTCTTTGATGTAGTAGCGGACAACTTTCTAATTTCTTCCAACAGTCACACAGAATGACTAAATTTTCATTTTTTCTAAAGTGTATGATTCAGGAGGTTTCCCCCCCCCCCCCCTTTACAGGACCTATGCTAATCAGTTATCCATAATATATTATGAGTATTACCCCACGGGAGAAGGCACTAAGCAAAAAACAGAACTTAAGGATATTTTTGTACTACGACAAACGGGAGAGTTATCCGTGACTACATCACAATCAACTAACCGAATTGCCAATTTCACGTTCTTATAGAGTTAGTGATCTTATATTTCAAACAATCATATTATTGAGGGTCCGATTTATTTCGAACTTTCGCTATTCTGTTTCTCTAATTTCCTTCTGACATACAAATAAACTTATTACACAGATTTGATTGCTCTTTAAGTAAACAATGCACATAAAATGAGGGCGCATATGTCCCGCATCACCTAAATGTCAGTTGTGTATATTCTGATATCAAAGGAAAATTAAAAGAGAAGGAAAATTCGGTCTATAAAATATTCAGGTTATATTTCTCGTTCTGTGTTATTTTCACAGTGTCGCGTGGTGACCAGTTTCGTCATGTTGGTGTTGTTCATGTTGCTAATGATCCTACTTCAGGGAACAGGTAAGAACCGTATATTTAATGTACACTGTTGGTCATATCAAAGGTGGAATAATTTTGTTTTACCCCAATTTACGGAATGATTTTGACAATGATTTATTCCAAATAAATCTAGATAATAGTATTCATTATTTGTTTTGCGTGGCTGCTTTTGCATGTGCGTGCTAATATCCTTATCAACTAGGGGACCTACGCCCTTAAGTCATAACTGACAGTAATCATATTGCTCCGATTGTCTCATTTTCGCTCGCCTGAACATTGCCAGCACAAACCACTGACCTCTACCTCCTACACGGATCATCGCACATTCCCATTCACTATACGTTACGTACTAAAAGGCTGTATTGTCTGACCGTTCATGAATATTCATGTTTTTGCTAAACTCGGCAAAATGTTTGCTTTTACTAAATGGAAAAATTACGGTGGGGGGTTGGATGAAATGGACAAAACGAAATAGGCAGAAGTGATCTATGATAATTCATGCTTTTTATGTTTCGTGTGCTCGACCTATAATCTTCAAATCGCTTGGTAAACTAAGTCCAAAGTTAGACTTGTTTCACATGTGTATTATAGGCAATTACGAGCTTGCAACCTATTTTGAAAAATTACGGTGGGTGAACTTTCAAAAGTCAATGAGACAGTCATGAGGGCTCCAATGAAAGAGCTAGTGATAACGTACGTCGGGTGGATGTGCTTTTCGTTTAAACAAAAAATGAATTTTTAACGATTTAAAAAAAAAAAACGTCCATAGGCTAACATGTTAGGCTGCTGAATCTGACCATGCTCTGACGATAGGGGGCGTTGTGAAATGAGACTAAACGGAGCCATATGGAGGATTAATGCCTCACAAAACGGCACTAATATAGCACATCGACACGGTTTTGATCCTGGAGCCTCACAGTTACGAGGCCATTGCTTTGCCACTGAATCATGACTGTACGCAGCGGGGGCTAGGGTAGGGGGCAGCCCCCACAAATAAACAAAAACGAAGAAAATGTAATAAATTATCAATAATTCGGTGCATTTCCCCCGGTCCCAACAGTAAAAAATCCTTTATTTTGCCATGCCTTGAATTTAATGCCTTAATTGTAAAATAAATAACAGTCACGCAAAACAAACACTCGCAAATTATAATTAAATACAATCCGAGAATTTTTACTATTATCTAGATCTTTTAGGAATAAATCATTGTCAAAATCATTGTATACATTGGGGTAAAAAACAAACATTATTCTACCTTTATGACCATCAGTGTATATACACTTTAGGAGTAACTTAAAACGAACGAGTAATACAGTTTAAGATCTATTAGTACAACTGCGTTTGATTTCAAGCAAATTGTGTTATTTCCTGTATCGATTAAGTAGAAATGTAAAGAAACTTGGGAGAATACAACAAATATAGTTCCCTTAATTTTTTTCTTCATTTCTTGTAATTATGATTATTGACTTTCCTGATTCATTTCCAATTAAAACCTAATTTTCAAACAGGTCTAAGCCAATTCATATCATTTTTGTCTTCCAATAGAGCAGTTCTTCCTTTATTATCTTCTATTCCTTGCTTTTCTTTCTAGTTATTTTTCAAATTTATCATTCTGAATTTATGTGGCTGGTGCCTTTATAAACACAAACCGATTAGAGTATAAACGTACATATTATTTCACGCATATAAAGATTTTTTATGATTCTCCCATTCATTTGAAACCTTACAGCGGGTGCCGTTGAACAACCCAGTTTTATCACGATTGAGTGCCCATCGAAGACGTTAGAAAATGGGGAGGTTGTGCAATTAGTCTTAAAGGAGGTCATAAATTCAGGCATACCGAGCGTGTTTGGTGTATCCTCGAAGTTATCGAGATGGTACCACTGTTCCATGCCAGGTAAGCCGTAGGTTAGGTACAATTTCACTTCAACATTACTTCATACCTTCATCCATACCAAGTATATCTGATTTTTCTTAGGAGTTATCAAAAGGTACTTTTGTTCAAAACCGTGTAAGAATTATAAAGGTAATCATAAAAGGAAAGACATATTCTTTTAGCAAAACAGCCAGTCCAGTTATATTTTGTCTAATCTTTTGAGTTGTCAAAAGTTTACTTATATGCAATATCCGCTAAGATATTCTAAAAAATGAATGTGCAACTGCGCCTCAGGATATAACGATGGGTTCTAGGACACCTACCCCTTGGACATCCACCCCGGATAACCACCCTCAGTCAACTACCCCATAGGACAACTACCCCCGGACAACTACCCATGAAAACTACCCCCCTAGGACTACTACCCCCGGACAACTACCCCTTAGGACAACTACCCCGGACAACGATCCTCTAGGACGCCTACCCCCCGGACAACTATCCTAGGGGGTAGTTGTCCGGGGGAAATTGTCCTAGGGGTACATGTCTGGGGGTAGTTGACCGGGGGTAGTTGTCCTAGGGGGTAGTTGTCCTTTGGGGGTAATGATGTGGGTGGTTATCCGGGGTGGATGTCCAGGGAGTAGGTGTCCGGATACGATAAAGAAGACAGAGTGCCACTTGAATTCTAGTAACGAATTAAAAAATAGGACTTAAATGAGTTGCAGATATTTCGGATATTTTCTTTTTTTTAACTAGAAAGACGCAATAACACAGAAATTCGTTATCTCTGACTATTTACTACCGTAATTCTGAGACTGCATTTACTGTAGCTACATGGTTACAAAAGATGTAGGAGAATTCCTCGTCAGTCTCCACATCTTTCTCAGATAGCCTAACCAAACTAAAGAAAATGTTACGAAAAAGCTAAATGGCCAACTATCCACAAGTCATTATCGTATTTCTTATGGGAAAAACCATTATCACTGAGCTTACAAGTAAACAATGCTAGCATTCTTATTTCATTGGCCAAGCTTCATATTGAATCTTTTATTTAGGAATGCCAATATACTTAAGCTTACTAAAATTTTAAGTATAATCGTTGAACAAAATTTACTCTGGGCTACTCTAAAGCTTGCCAGCCATGATGGTAGCAAATAATACATGCTAAGTGGATTTTATCAACGCTGTTTAATGCATATAGCAAATCAAAACAATAAAGACCATGGGAATTAGCAGCTCTTGGGAAAACATGAACTGCGACACTGTTTCCCGCTCAAAAGGTGACTAGTATATTGATACTTCTGTTAGACTATTATGTAAATGCGTTAAGTTGCTATTTTGTGTGTGATATGCCTCCCACATCACAATCATTTTGAGCAATCTGACTAATTTATTATCTTGCCACATTCTGTTCTATGATTATATAGTATTTAAGCAATTGTTATTATCATTGATATTGTATTTTTTTTTGGATGGAGTATGGTTATGATTTAGACATGGATGGAAGAACTTGCAATGGTAAGATATTCATATATAGATTATTTTGTCTTGATATAGAATACGGCATAACAATATGAAGGTAATTTAAGAGAAAAAAACATGAATAAAACAACCCTAAAAGGCATTCACAAGGTTCGTGTGGTATGATGATATAAACATGATTTAATAAATATAAATATATGTTCATGTGTGTGGGTGTTTGTACGTTTGTATGATTTTTTTCCGTCTCTCAATTCCCCTTCCATACAGATGTCGATGAGTGTGATGCTCATCCAGACTCGTGTGAATAGACTAATGGAATTTGTACGAACATGCCTGGGACATTCAATTGCTCCTGTACTGCTGGTTATGATTTAGACATGGATGGAAGAACATGCAATGGTAAGATGCTCATATTTAGATTAATTTGTCTTGATATAGAATACGGCATAACAATATGAAGGTAATTCAAAAGGAAATAGAGGAATAACAAAATCTTGGAAAGAATATCTTAAATTACTTTATGGTCGTAATGCCCACAATTATATAATTTCCACACAACTGCGCCAGGAGTGTCATTTTTGACAGACATGGCGCATTTTAAATGTTCACAATTATTATTAATATCATTACACGAGGTCTATGTGGTATGATGATATTGACAATAAATCTTTTTTAAAGGATATTGGATTTCTTAACCCTAATGGGTAATCTAGGTCGGAAATATCTATGGATACTGAATACTTACACTGTCATATACTGTAGCTGCAAGAAACGAATCATCTTATCCACATATTCCAATCCACTTATAACATTTACATCGTCACTAAACTTGTATGACTTAATGTGTTCTATCTAAGGAAGCATACAGTAGGTCCTGCACAAAATAAATTATTCGATGCACAATACTTTTCAGTATCATTTTCGGTAATTCCTTTTTTTCTTTAATCCCCCTTTCATACAGATGTCGATGAGTGTGATGTTCATTCAGACTCGTGTGATACGACTAGTGGAGTTTGTACGAACATGCCTGGGACATTCAATTGCTCCTGTACTGTTGGTTATGAGTTAGACAGGGATGGAAGAACTTGCAATAGTAAGATACTCATATTTACAGTATTGTGTCATGGTAAAGAGTACTGCCGACAAGTACGAGGATAATAACATAAAAATACATGAATAAAAATCGCTTAGAAAGCATTTTCCAAAGTTTACGAGATACTTTGATTTGTATAACATGATATACTTTCGAAAAATCAACCGTACGCGATTTCAATAGCCTTGTGCGTCCCCCTTACGTATCCGTAACCCGGACGCTATTGCAATGGGACATACAATTGGGTACCGGAATTGTCCTTAAGATGATTTTTCGAATTTTGTTGCGATTGTTTTGTTCGATTATTGTTTTCAAAGAGATTGATATTTCTTAACTATAATGGGCAACCCTATCCCAAAGTGGTGTATACCTATTACGCTCATATTTTTTTTTTTTTTTTTTTTAACCCTTTCCCTTTATTTCACATATCTACAACGTTCACAATAACATATAACATTAACATATTATCTTAGCATATCAGTCAAAGCTTTTACCTGTTGTTTTTCATTAACATTTTATTTTATTTTAATAGAATTTAAATTTGACATCAATTCATTCTTCAAATCAGTTAAAAGAGTTCTTCCATTAATGTTGCTGTTTGTTTTCAAATGTTTAACATAGTTCTTATAAATAACATATGCAGCAAAATTAATCAAAATGTTTACCAAGTAATCATTTAACTTACCCATATCATTTCCAAATGCTAAAGTCTTCTCATTTATGTTGATATCTAATCCACACAAATGGTATATCAAACCTGTTACAATTTTCCTAAACACAATTATCTTTTTAAACTCTAGCATTATATGCCGTAATGTTTCAAGGGTACTACAATCTTCACAAACATAATCATTTTTAATTTTCCATTTATATAGGTTATATTTTGATGGTAAAAACATATGCAAAAATTTAAAGATAACTTGTTTGATTCTGTATTGCATTGATTCTCGTATAGCATTGAACTTAAACATAAGAAACGGATTCCAATTAAAATTGGAGGGCAGTACTAATCGTTGCTGCCAATCATTGTATACAAAAGATTCTTCTTGTTTTTTCTGCACAAAGAATAATTAGAACTGTTAAGCCTTCATATTTAAAATATTAATATCATCACCAGTTGATATTTGTATACAATTCGTCCTTGTTTTCACGAAGTGACGGTAGTGAGGAAAATCGTAACGCAAAATGAATGCAATTTTTTTTCACTACCCGCACTTCGTGAAAACAGCGACGAATTAGAGTGATGTGTTTGATAGAAATCATTACGTAATTGATCAACCCCCAGTTTTCGAAAGGCTTTCTTCACCGTTGAAAATTTGAAAGAAATCAACAATTTTGGAATAAAAATCCACATTATTTCAAGGTCCTTGACTAAAAATATGTTTTTAATTTAAAAGTTCCAACTTTTTCGCATAACTTGAAATGCAATACCTGGATATTAAAATTGATATTACTATTATTCCATAATATTTTATTTTCAATATTTGTAACCATGGGTGTATTTCTATACCTCAATTCTGACCAAGTACAAAGTAAATCAAAGTAAGAATGAGGTATCCTAGACATTCGGCGTCGTTTCTCCATGTCTCTGTTATTACAATTAAACTGAAACACCAATGGAGTTCCACCCACCCACCCATCCTATTTAACCAATAGGAAAATGAAACTCTCCATGTAGCTTTCTCATCGTCAAAGAATCTCCTTATCCAAGAAAGTCGCAGCCAACCGACGTTTCCCTGTAAATCGACCATACCTAAACCCCTTCAGTAATTGTATTCAATTAAATTTATTTTTATTTTCTCTTTCTTAGACCCCCATACAAATGAAAACACCATCTTATTAATTTTTTTTAAAAACAGAATCGGTGTTGCAATTCATATTTCTTTTTTAAACATTTTATAACACACACGTTGCTTCTTTTATTTTGGTTAAATCATTGTCAATTGTCAAACTTAAACTATTGAATGAAATAAATGGATAAAAGACATGCTCTGTAAAGACAGGGATATATTTCGCCAAATCGCCTATTATTCTTAAAAAAAAAAAAAAAAACTCATGGCATTGTATCAGCAAATCTTTCTTTTTTGGATTTATTTCAGCCAAATGCCCGGATGCGTTCTGGACCTATTTCCAAGGAAGTTGCTACAAATTCCTCGACAATGAACTCAGCTTTCACCAGGCCTTGTCTACCTGTCAGAGTCTGACCAATGGACAGTCATGCCATGCAGACTTGGTTTCTATTCATAGTGCAGAAGAGCAGGAGTTCATCGCCAGTCTCTGTCTAGAACATGTACAGATATGTATTTGAATAATCCGTTGTTGTATAGCGCAAAACACATTATGATATAACGCTCCGTAGGCGATTCCAAAGAGCTTTGGAAATTAATACGCTAGCTTTAGCTTCGGCAGCCGTTATCAGCGCACATTGCATTTAAAGGAATAGTCCTATGAATTCCTACCAGGTAACCATTTACCTCAACTGTGTGGAGTTTGGCAAATGTTCTTTAACGTCATGTCTAAGGACGTTATTGTTGTAGCAGGGATTCGAACCCCGTACCTAGCGGCTCACTGTACGGAGACTTATCCACTGGACCACAGCACCTCTCGATAGACTTGTTCGTAATCAGGACAATGTTCAGATGCCCCCCCGTGTGTGTGTGTGTGTAGTTGGGTTAATCAGATATGATTATTTACGTCTGGGGACCGACCTTTAACGTCACCATTCGAAAGACGTGACTCAGTTTCGAACCTGCGTCCTCGGCTGAATCAGTTTGTAACTCCCATGTTTAGATGGATTACAGGCGCAAGCCACAACGCCCCGTTTATCCACAGAACTATTAAACACATCATGGGTGTCGATCCTTACGTAATACCTATTCATCAGGGGGGGGGGGGATGAATGAATAGATCATCCCCCCTGATGAATAGGTATCAGTTACGGATCGACACCCATGAAACACATGGAGAAGTCCCATTTTTATCGTATTCATGCAAAATCGATTTATATCGCTGATAGAATTTCTTTTTATTATTTTCTTTGCTCTTTCTTACAGAATGCCGGCACATGGTATTGGATCGGACTGCATCAGCCAGACTCTTCTGGTCCATTTCTTTGGTCTGACGTGACACCAGTCAGCCACACAAACTGGGACTCTAGACTGAGTCAACCAACAAACGGTCACCGAGACTGCGCCGGGTATGAATCGCCCACGGGTTCTTGGCGTAACTGGCTTTGTAATATAGTACTAATGGGATCTGCAAAGTTCCTGCCGTCTGTCATTAAAGAAATGTATAACATTAATAGGCAACTACCCGAAAATAAAGCAGACAAATCAGAGAAGCAGATCGGTGAAAGATTGAAAGAAATCGGAACATAAATTGAAAAAGTTATGAATTTTAAAAGCTGAAATTACTATACATGCGGGTACTTCAAACTGTATGAAAGTAATTTCACTGTGATCTTGTGCGGAAATCTTGCCCATTGGTTTCAACACAAGAAATGACTGAAATGTCAATTCTTCCAAATATATGACTTAGGAAGGCCTTTAAGTTTAAGAATACCTATTTGCTATCCAAATGTATTTTCAGTAGTGTCCCAAAGGAGAAGGCGCTTGGAGAAACACAGAAATTAGTGATACTTTTGTACACGAACACCCGGCCCCCCCCCCCCCCCCCCCACTCAGAGGTCGGAATGACCGCATGCGTGTTGCCAACATGTCCGGTAAAGGGGTACTTTTCGTGCGACAAAGTCCAGCCCGAGATTTGTAAAAAAAAGGGGTGTATTTGACTTTTCACCCGGAGATTTCTTTAAAAAGGGGGTGTTTTTCTTTTTTTCTCTCATCTCTTTGGAATCCTGAGAAATTATTCCGAATTTAGGGGGGTACATTGAGCATTTTTCCTGATTTAGGGGGGTCTCCAAGGCAGGAAAAGCCCGCAAAAAGCCCGCGAAAGGGGGGTTCGGAAATGTTGGCAGTCCTCAGATAGGGGGTGCTTTCAAAAAGAGGGTACGAGCATATGCGTACCCTAAATAACACTGAGTGGGGGGGGGGGGGGGCCGGGCACGAACAACGGTAGTCCACCAAGATACGTCACAATCCACTGACCGAATTGCAAATTTGAAATTCCCATAGATTTAGTAATTTCACATTTCAAACATTCATAACTTTCTTATAACTGGTCCGATATTTGTCAAACCTTTGCCATTCTGATTCCCTAATTGTACTGCTAATATACAAATCGTATTACAAAGATTGTGGATTGCCATTTGGTAAATTATTCTACAATGTTTGCAGAACTTTCAGAATGTCCATGGTGTAGCAAAAGGAATAGTGGGAGGAAAGAGCACGCCTGATCCTAATAGTTTATACATTTCAAAGAAAAGTGAAGTATACAGTTAACAGCTAAATTAGAAATACCCTCGCCAAGCCTTGTACTCTTATGATATTAAAATGTACAGTCACAAAGCGCAGCTACTATACTGTACTGCCATTCATAAAAAGTATCACTCCGGCTGTAGCTGAGCAGCCATGAAGAGGCGCTAAAGCATTCAAGGAATTTCTTCCTTCCGGGTCGCATTTACATCACATGGGTGGAGAGTGGCAAATGTAGATTATTGCTTGCCATGGGACATTGATTTGCCCCTTTTTATGTTTCTTGACAATGTGACATCTAAAAGCCTTCAACAAATTCCCTTATTCAACCATTCCGCCTTTCATTCTTGAGTAACGAAAAAGAAAAAGAAAACCATCAATCAATAAATAAATAAATATATGTACAGGTGCATGGTAGATATATTTATTTATTTATTGATTGATTGATTGATTGATTTTCAGTTTTAATTAATCAGGATTACCTCTTTAATTATTGTAGCACTGCTATCCTGGAGAGCCCAGGGTAAAAATCAAAACAATATGTAAATAATACTGAAATATATACTGAACGATTGAATGACATATTTACTGAATACTAAGCAGAATAATTAGGAGCTAGATTTTTGTTGTGTTTAAAGGTAAAGACCAGTTATGGTCATGCGATTGCATTGTGAAAGAAACGTTGTGGAATCGATCAGAAAAGGTTGATCATCTAGCATATAAGTATTGGTGTGTATACTGCAAGGTTCTGGAATCATTAAAATGATAAGAAATTTGGCACAGTCTTCGTAAAGTTACAAGCACTGTACACAGAAAGATGTATATGGGACTATACGCACACGTGCGCGACACGTGCGTTTATCTCTCACAGACCATGTAGATAAACTAACTTACCAAATATATCAATTAGTAGGCGGTCTCCCGGCAAAATTGTTATCATCATGTTTTAGTCAAAACATATTCTTTCACATGATTGGTAATAAGAGCTTCCATTTCATTTTTTGAAATTGGGGCGTTTCCAATACTGGTCTTTACCTTTAATTGTGTTAGGGTTCTTGATCAGTAGAGGTTCTAGATTTAATGAGTATGCACGCTCCTTATTGCTTCCTTGACAAGGAAGGGACCGCTTGGTTACTTGGAATACAGTATGTTGTATCGCATTTAGAAATTATACAGTTCACACATATCAAAGCATTGCGGTAAAGGCTATTGAAATTACCTGAGGTTGATTTTTGCCGAAAGCTTTAGCGAGCGGCTTTAATGAGATATCTGAAAAAGGATATCATGAATAATCTATCGATCAGATTCTAAAGAAAACGAGTTGAGTGCTTGCTTAATGTTGTGTGCAGATATAATAATAATAATAATAATAATAATGGGTTCTTGTATAGCGCTCATGTCAGTCAGATTTGACCCTCCTGAAGTGAAAGCGTGTTATGTTTGATACAAATATTGTTTACTTCATTGTTATATTGATGTTTGTTACAGTACTCTTGGCAAGATGGATCAGATTTTATTTTTGAATGATTCAAAATGAAAATGTACGAGTTATTGATATGTACTTTATGCCGGAAAGAGTGAATCTGAACGATGTGCGCAAAACTGCGTGAATTTGATCAAACAAAACGTGAAATTATAATACAAAACTGTCGTCTCTGTTATCATGGTTATAGCGATACGTATTTATGTAAAAAACAGGAGTCATAGTTTCGCCTTTTAACATTTCTTTTCTTCACAAGCCTCGAAAATCGAAATGATAGTCCTATCACACGTCGAAAATCCCAGCCTGCGTACACAATGAAGGAGCGCTTGGCTTAGGGAACCTTTGTTTTTGCAATGTATGACACGGCCATCATTTCATATGAAAATTGCGTTGTTTTTGCTCGAAATTTGATAAACTTTTTGGCACACTTACGCCTTAGAACATAAGGAAGGGCATCAGATTAGACATTAAAGCAATACAATAGAAATTACTCGTAATTTTCAAGCCCACTCAAATAATAGGTGCGCAGTCATCGGGCTCCCATTATTCAAATTCATATGATTATGATTATGATTATACTACAATGAATAAGTATATTACGACGAATATACAATGAAACGACAAATATAATAGAAAAAGGACGAGAAAAGAGGAACTAGCTAGAAGCAGAGCTTGTTGAAGTATTAGTTCCTCAGATGCTGTTTTACAAAATATACGGTTCTAGGGAACCTACCCCCAGGACATCCACTCCCGGATAACCACCCCTAGTCAACTACCCCTAGGACAACTACAACCTAGGACAACTACCCCCTAGGGCAACCACCTTCTATGACGACTAACCCCGGGACAAATACCCCGGACAACTACCCCCAGGCAACTACCCCCTAGTACAACTACCCCCTAGGACAACTACACCCTACGACAACCACCCTCTAGGACAACTACCTCCCGTACAACAATCCTAGGGGGCAGTTGTCCGTGGATTGACATGGATTTAATTAAGAAAATTAAGAAAAATGAATATTGTACAGAAAAATCTATAATCCAATTGATTATAGCTTTTTTTAAAAAGAATGCAGGAACATGGTCACAACTGAAATGAAAAGAAGAAAATACACAAATTATAAAAAGAGACTTGAAGCCCCACTGCACTACGTATAGCTACTTGCGCCCTCTATCTACGACTTTTAAATCTTGGCAAACAAAGAAAAAAAGAAACATTGTTCTTGTCAGATGTCATAACGTGCGCAATCTGGATGCAGTCTCGTACAATTGTGAGATTGCAGAAGTTAGACTTGAATTACCGGATAACATGTATTCACCTAGGTAAACCGATTAGCTACACTTGTGTCAAAATATTTGTTAATCATATATGATACATGTACATACTATTTCAGTCTTTTTTAAATAATTTGTTCATAGGTGTTAGTGACAATGACGACAGCTCTTCTCCTGCCTTCAGCAGTTTATTTAATGTTTTGAGTGGGATTTGTTTATATATATCTATATATAAAAATGTATCTGTAATTTATACGTATGTATCATGTAGATTAAAACAAATGCAAATTTGAGTGGGATTTGTTTATATATATATATATATCTATAGGCAGTGTGACACAGAGGCCCAAAATCCGGATTTTAGTTATCCGGATTATTCGTAGCCTGTCTGTCACCAGTCTGTCACCGACGTAAATGATAAAAACTAGATTTCTAAAATCTGGTTTATTCAAGATGGGTCGGGATTTTTTCTGTGTGACACCGCCTTATATATCAAAATGTATAAGTAATATATACGTATGTATCATGTAGATTAAAAAAATTAAAAAAATTATAGAATTAAAGGGATAGTTGAGTTCTTGTTTAAAGGGATAGTGGAGTTATTGTTTCAGACCGCAAATGCTTTCAAAGTGCATGGTTTTTGCTCTTATTATAATTATTTATGACATTTCTAGTGCTCTTTTAGGACTTATGAAGCTAATTTTAGCTCCACTTTAAACAAGAATACGCTGACCGTTAATTAATTAATAATAACAATGCACTGGCCGACTGGTTGTGCGTATTATAACCAACACGAAAAAAACCAACAAAAGGCCAACATCGGCATTGGCTGGAATAAAACGTAAAAGGCACTTCATCGTTTTTTTAAACGGCTGGTTCAAATTATCTAATATTTGTGGTAGCACACATATATTAGAAATGGTTATATTTATGGATATTTCAGCCGTCTCTGAACAAATTTTGATCAAACAAAGATGATTTTGTCATTTAAATTGTATAATGTTTCAAATTTTACACTCACATTTTCATTATCTCACACAAAAATTATTTTGTGAAGCGCCCTCTGCAACAAAACTCAACTATCCCTTTGAGCTTGCTTGATACAGCAGATGATATCTCTTGTAGTGCTTGCCTGAATTGTCACAACACGGTTGAACTGTTAACTTGTAGACTTATGATATATATAGAAATGTGTATTAGGCCTAAAATAAAAACTTGTTGTATTGCCCTTTGGGTGCTAAAACATGGGTCGGTCGGTCGGAAAGTTTTTTTTTTGTTAAACTTTGTTTTTTCGCCCTCTTGTGGGCCGATGTTTTTCTGTTTGTAATGTTTTTTAGTGCCTTCAAAATTTCAAAAGTGTTGTGAGCCTTTCCGTAGAAAACTCTAAACAGCGACCGTAGCCCAAATCTCCCTGGTTTCTAGCCAGGGTTTCTAGTTGGTGCAGTGCATGGTATAAACACGTACACGAGGCCGGGGTCTACTTGCATGTTTACGCTAGTAGGATTTTGAAACTAGGGCAGAAGACGAGTGAGAATTTGGGAATAATTTGATTTTATGCATTCATATCCCATAAAACAAACAAAATACATATTTTTTAAATTCGTTAATATAAAAAAAATCAAAAAAACAAGTTTTTATTTTAGGCCTTATTACATAAATATATTCGACATATTTATTTAATTAGAATGAACAGAAATGGATTCCTAGCCTTCTGATAGTACAGATGATGGGATATGTTATACTCGTAGTGACAGCACAGGCCTCTATGTGCTCAGCATCGGTCAAACTCATTTACATTTACAAATACGACTTTTTTGTTTAAATATTTGCATTTTTCGCAAATCATACAAGATACAGAGTAGCTTTCATTCTTAATTTGCTGTTGGTTGCTGTGAGATGAAATTAAAATTTATGTGTTGCACATACAAAATAAAGAGAATCTATTGTCATGGTTGTGCATTTTGTTTTGAAACCAAATAATGCTATGCGGTTGGAGGAAGGTTAGCAGAAAGGAACGATTTCCAAACAGTAGTTTGTTTTGTATGTTTATGGCTTCATGGCTGTATAATTGATTGATTGATTGACTGATTTTATTTCATTTGATACAACAATAATTATTGTTTGCACAATAAAAAACATAGTTGACAAAGTAAGATCAAAATTATGAAATGAAACAGGAACCTACTGGAAAGCATAGCTTGTTTTTGTAGGTTCCCATGAAAAAACGTAATATGAACATTATTTTCATAAATCATTTTAAAGTGTCTTAATAATCACAATAAAATAATCGATGAAATTCTAATGTCTTTTTCTAAAGATATATTTAAAATTCAAATACCGAAAATGATCACTTATTTTTAAAACGTAGCGATAGATGGAGTTTGGTTAATGCTCATCGATATACTCTGATTATCGACATTTTGTCCAGGGTATTTATTATATTACATATTTAGGCCAACAGTGCAAATTTCAATATTGCTTAACCGTCAAAGTATTGTGATTTTAATTCTTTCCACTGAATCCACTATCGTACACAAATAGCATGATATTTTTCTTCTTATAATAGCTAACCCCAAAGAAGAAAAAACATAAACAAAGAAAACAACCCCCCCCCCCCAAACAAAAAAAAAAAAAAAACACAAAACAAACAAACACGAATTAGGCACTACAGAGTGAGTCAGAAAAAATGTCCCACTTTTTAAAACTTGTATTGTTTGAAGTATGAATATTTAATCATGGGTTATAATCCTAGTATATTTAGGTACCATTTTTATTTGATTTTCATTTGAATCTCCGCATGCATGACTCAACATCAGACAATCGAAATACGAAATATCAGTCAGCCTAATTTTCTAATTTTCGGGGCTCTTACCCCCCCCCCCCTTCGCTTATTCAGCGGCCGGCAGAGGCGTTGCGAAATTTTCGGCGCGATTTTCAAATTCTAATCCCCCCCCCCCCTTGAAAAAATCCTGCGTACGCCACTGATGACAATTAATATCAGCTGGGGGTATAAGTAAAGAGATGGAATTAGGCTTTGTATGGTGATAACATGAACCCTTTGATTTTTGTTATCATAAATAAGGGATGGTTGGTGCATTTATTCCAAATTTCGGGCTGGTGAAAGCAACAGTATTTTGGTCCATAATAGTTCTCATTAGTGGTAAAATAAATTTATTGAACCGCCGGGTGGGCTAGTTACGAGCAGTTTCCTTTCTATGAAATATCTGATCAAGAACTTAGGGTAGATTGTTGTTATTGTAGCGGAACAATAATATTTTGTCTAACAGCGACTGATGAGTGTTACCCCTAAAAGGAACCCATAGTTTAAATCAGGTAAAATGAGACTTGAATAAAGCATAAGAAGGGTGAAAGAAGGAAAGTAACATTTAGGTTTATTAATCACACAGATGTTGCGTGAGGTTGTTTTACATATAGAATAAACATGTTTTTTCCATGTAAGTTTGTTGTCGACATGGGCACCAGGAAATATTTATTACAGGAGACTTCGAACAGAGGAATACCGACACAAATTATGTCTCCCGTCAAATCCTCTTTTGAGTTGCTATATATCATAATTTTTCTTTGTTAAAGTAGATATTCATTGATTTAAAAAACTAACTTTATTTACACTATTGCAAACGTGCAACTTTGATTGGACAAGGTTATCAAAATTCAATACTTTTAAACATTCGAAGTAATGATTATTATCAATTACAAAACGCTTCAATACAACCCCGGCAGCGTCATTTTCCCCCACGAGATTTCCGGACCTTGGCTTATATCTTTTACGTCATTAGCAGCTTAGAAAGAGGTCACACAGATTTAAAGCTTATCTGCCGTAGTTTACAGGAGGGATTAGACTGCCTTGCAAGGTCACTGGACAGGTGGTTATTTAATCAACTCAGCTCTCAGATAACATAAGAAAAAGAGGATCATGTGGGACCAATGGTCACCGATTAGGCATTGTTTGTTATATAGAGGGCGCAACTAGCTACACGTAGTGCAGTGGGCCTTTAAGAGTTGAGTATATATTGCCTTGCCTCAATTATATAAAGCCAAAAAATAATACTGAATAAATACTGATCGTGCTATGTAGGATTATATCTTTCCGCGGACACGACTGTGGAGCTCAAAGCGAGCAAAGTACCCAAGCATTTAGGTTCCCATGCATCGTAGAACCATTCGTTAAAAGAAAAAAAAACCAAAAGGTGGGGGTGTTCGCATTGGCTGAGCCCCACTCCTCTCCTGCGTGCTATAGCATTTCCTTTAATCAATACCCGAAAGTACTTTTTGGTCTATCTTAAAAATGACGTCAACGAGAGTGAAATTCTATTACTTGACTGAAGTTATAGAGTATTTATCAATTTTTGTCACGTGGCGACTATGGCAGGCCTTACTGGCCGTTATTCGTACAGATAGTACGCATTGAATGGATGTAGAGGTTTAACCAATCAGAACGCAGGTGCAACCATCCAACAATACAAATATGCAAACTACATCTACATCCATCGCGGCACTCGCGTGCGCATGTTAAGTTGCAAGTGTGTACGACGCGCCTTACAGGCTATCTTATCAGAACGTTTGGGTCACTGAACAGTCCTTGTTTTATTACAAACAACAAAAGATCTATGGAGAATGACGTTAAAAAACACTCTTTTTTTTAACATCCATCTTAGTTCTGCTAAAAGTACCACATATTTTGCCTAGTTTGACTAGTATAATACGACAAATGTTCTTTCGGGTAAAGCAATCACTTTACAATTTCACTATGATTTACTATCGCGTTTTATTTTAAATCAACGGATTGGGCGACAGAGCTTTATTACCATGTCACAATTTGAAATACCGCCTTCTCTTAATTTTTAGTGTGAGAAAGTCATTTTCCCTATAATTTTATCTTTCCAAACATAGACTCATTTATATTGATCAACGTTATCCCCCCGTATCCAAGATGTATAAGGCCATCACATCTTTGCCGATGCATTTTCTTCAATTCCGATAGGGTCCATTTAGCTCCAAATGTTTTGATATCTATTCGTTCGAGTATACAGCCAACGAATGGATCCACGGTTTTAACAAATAAGAACGCGGAGAATTGTACAACCATACAACTTAGCAACTATACATCCATTCGACCGATGTATTTTGTATAGTTGCAAAGTTGCATAGTTGTATGGCTGTACAGTTTCCTGTGTTCTAATTGCATAAAACTGTACATCCATTCGATGGCTGTATAGTTGTATAATGAACATAACTGAAAATAACGAATTGTAAAAATATATTTAATTCACCAGTATCTCTATCTATTATGAATCTCTTGATGGTTTGCATCTTCGTAACTATGTTTATTTCGTTTAATCTGGTCAGCCCGGTTTCGATTGTATTGTGAGCTTTGCTCGACGTGAAACTGGTTTCCAGGCAACTCGGCGTACATCAATTGTACGAATAAGTGCCTATAAGGACCGTCATAAGCAACGCCCTTTTGTGGTGTATAGTTTCGACTTCAGGCGAAACTACACCCCTTTCGTATCTGTTGTCAAGTCATCATAGCTATCACAAAGTAATTTCCCGTCATAAATACCCGCACAAACTATTAAAGAAAACAGTGTAGGATTGATTTGTCTTCCGACTCACTTGCAGTCTCGTCTTTATTTTCACTTTCTTTACGGTTTGAAAGCAGCTGGCTGAACTTTGTCATCGTCAATTTGTTGTCTAACTACTATTTTTCAACGTTTAGGAGGAAATAAATGGAAAAGGGGATGGATTCATCATCGGTAATATTTTATACTATTTCATATTTGTACTTTTAATAGTTTGTCTTGCACGAACACTGATTCCTCTTTTACAGGCCACTTTTCTCCATTTTGGGGATTCGAAGCAATTTAATTGATTCATGTATTCATTTATTTTATTTTTTCCGATTCGGAATCTATCATACAGGACAAACAAGGTAAATTTTTTAGATTCCGTAATAATTATGTGTCTCGTAAGAATTTAATGCATTTATTTCGTCCAAAACGATGAAATTCTCTTATTAATACGATTTCTATTATCGCTGCCAATAGGCATTGTTCATGATTTTAATTCTTCTTTTTCGGATGAAATGAACGAACAGCAGACGAATGTCGTGCGGGGCACTTTGTGCATGCATAACCGCCCTTTACTGAAGCCAGTATAAAAGTGTTCTTTAAATTGAATTAACTTTCACAGATGATTAAGATAAATAGTATGCATAATACCATAAAGATATGTCCATTTCAATGATATTTTCAAAAGTCTTAGAATTTGGTTAGTTACCGAGGCTTTTGGTAGATACCAGTAATCAGATAACCGATGATTATTGCGCAATGTAGCTGGCGGGCTCTTTTCGAGTTTTATTGAGAAAAAAATTATACTTGTGAAATCACCCTGTGATATAGAATTTGTTCATAACGGGTTTAGGATGAATATATTTTCTGCTTGAGTGACCATAAAGTAACCACCACCTTCTAGCTTGATTTTATCTAAGATATATTTGAACACAATTTGCCTCCTTTTTGACAATTTTCGTGTACAATAGGTAAACCAATCATGCAAAATGATATCAGGCATCGTAATTAAGAATACTTTTTTTTTTAAATCTTCCTTTTAAATCTATGGTGAATGTCACATTCGTTTTCCTTCTGATAAACTTCACGGTATGTTTGATATATTAACGAAAAAAAGGCGCAAAAGGAGGCAACAAACTTTATATGAAAAGCTTATGTTTGGAACCCCAAGAACAAAGTGGCAAAGTGTCATCTGTCCTTGGGTCTGTGTATATTTTTCTTGATCGTCACGATAAATTTTAATTCTTCAATCGACCAGGCAAAATTTCACTCTATCGCATTGGTCATCGCCGCCATCGTCGTCGCAATCGGCGTGATCGTCGGCGCCGCCATCGTAGCCCGTGGCGACTATGGGAGAGACCATTCCCAGTGCTTGACTGCCGGGGAAGGGGAGCCGTGAAAGCTATGGAGAGTAGTATGGTAAGTAGAACACGCATATTATAGAAATAATGCAGATAGTGCAGAAATGCCATATCCCTTGATTTCGCCCCTTCTAATATGTCTGACTACACCCATCAGCATTGTCCTGAAAATAAATAAATGGAATAACAGCTTAGACTCCAATGGCAAATCATGCATTTTATCTGTATTATTTAAAAACTGTAAAAGTTTGTTGCAATCCTTCCCCCTAACATTCCTAACTTGAATAAAAATATTACGAATACGAATGACAGGTGTTAATTTGAATGATAAAAATTACGCTTCGACAAGTGAATATTAATTTGAATGCTAGTTGAGCAGTTTCTAAATTGAATGACAGATCAATGAAACCCTTCGACCAAAATCCTCAATTAAATACAAAAACTGGAAAATTGAATGATAATTGGCATGGCAAAGCCGATATGCGCTAACTTAAATGCAAAGTAAATGAATTCGAATGACAAACACGCGAATTTGGCCGGGAAATCCTATAGTAGTAGTAGTAGTAGTAGTAGTAGTAGTAGTAGTAGTAGTAGTTGTAGTAGTAGTAGTACTACTACTACTAGTAGTAGTAGTATTAATAGTAATAATGCAAGTAATAATAATAATATTACTGATACTATTACTAATAATAATAAGAATAAAGATAATAATAATAATAATTGTGACAAATCAATAATAATATAAAAACAGTTACAATAATACTTATATTAATACTACTAAGAAAATAACTGATCATATTGCTCCGATTGTCTCATTTTCGCTCGCGTGAACATTGCCAGCACAAACCACTGACCTCTACCTCCTGAACGGATCATCGCCCATTCCCATTCACCATACGTTACGTACTAAAAGGCTGTATTGTCTGACCGTCATGAATATTCATGTTTTTGCTAAACTCGGCAAAATGTTTGTTTTTACTAAATGGAAAAATTACCAGGCGCGGATCTACGGGGGGGGGGGGGGTTTAGGGGGTTTAAACCCCCCCCCTTGGGCGGCCCCAAAAAAAAAAAAAAAAAAAAAAAGGAAAAAAAAGAAAAAAAAAGAACGCACGCTGGAGAGAAACCCTTTCAAATGCAAATATTGTGAGAAGATATTCAACTCATCTGGTAACTTAACCAAACACATGATAACTCTGGATATAACTGTGTATTTACTGTTACTTGATTTAAAAAGACGTTATCATGCACTGCTTTTTATGGTCTCCATTGTGTTAATAGATGCCAGGAAAACATCACTTACGGAGTTCAAATAAACACCCCAAAAAAAATCGGCTCGCCGCTTCGCGGCTCGTGGACGATGCTCCGCATCGTCATTATTTTGGTCAACCCCCCCCCCTTAGCAAAAAGCTAGATCCGCCCCTGATTACGGTGGGGGGTTGGATGAAATGGACATAATGAAATAGCCAGAAGTGATCTATGATAATTCATGCGTTTTATGTTTCGTGTGCTCGACCTATAATCTTCAAATCGCTTGGTAAACTGAGTCCAAAGTTAGACTTGTTTCACATGTGTATTATAGGCAATGACGAGCTTGCAACCTATTTTGAAAAATTACGGTGGGTGAACTTTCAAAAGTCAATGAGACATGAGGGCTCAAATGAAAGAGCTAGTGATAACGTACGTCGGGGTGGATGTGCTTTTCGTTTAAACAAAAAATGAATTTTTAACGATTAAAAAAAAAAAAAGTCCGTAGGCTAACATGTTAGGCTGCTGACGCTGACCATGCTCTGACGATAGGGGGCGTCGTGAAATGAGACTAAACGGAGCCATATGATTTTTCAAAGCGCACATGTACCACGTAAGGTGCACTAGGCCCTCCCACATTACCCAGGCTCTGCTAGGCCACCGATTTCGGTGCCCACGGCCTTTAAAGCATTCCTTACTTCTGGTATCCATTTAATTACACCTGCGTAGAGAGTGGTAACTCTAGAATATTGTCGCGGCGG